AATTTTTGAATAGAATCATCTCATATGTAGATATATAAAACGAATTTCAGAAAAATATTAAGTTTCAATTTCGCTGAAGAATTGGAATAAACTCGCTGGATATATCGATGCATAGAACGAATGTGAAAAGGAATACGAAAATGTTTCTTAATTCAATTAGTTTTTGAAGGTTAATAGATTTTGGAATTGACAATAAATATGGTCTAAGAATGTTGAAATCAAAGAAAGTGAGAACACTGATGCACATAGTTTTGAGCATTAAAAGGAAGAAATCAACTCAGCAGCTCTCGATCAATATAATATGTTTCATAAATATTTTATTTACTTGAAAATTTTTTTATAGAAGAAAATTTTTTTGCTTTTGAATGTATCTTCAGTGAAAGTATATTTAGTGAAATGTCTTTTACCCGTATTAGATACATTAATCGATATATATGCAATCAGGGAAAGGGAATCAGCGTGAATAGTTACTTTGATGTTTTGTTCGATAGTTCAGTAGTATGATATCGTTTAAATCGAAAGAGCTAAGGCAATAAGGAATTATTTGATGAATTTGTGGTACGAAATATGGTCTCTACATCAGTGATTAATAGAAGAAGTCAATTATTTTTGGCAGTAAGGAAGTAGGTGACTTCTGCATGGTACACAGTAGAAATTCTTAGAAGAAAAAATAGGAATATCATTTGTAATAGATAATTGGGTGGGCGTGATCCATCCCATAAATATAATTTGTGCTCTTGTTATTGAAAAGAATACTTGTATCGTCATTTTATTTCAGTAGCATAATTGTTTATTACAATAGCAAGACATAAGAAAAAATTAAGATATAAGAGAAAACGTGAAAAAGTTAAAAATTAGCTAATTGCTTCTTCCGTTTGTTTAGAATAGATTAGAAAGATACCTAACACCAGCTATTTATATATAGAAAGAAAGAAATTCGCGAAAAAAAAACATCTGATATCTTTTTTTTTTAAATCGAAACAAAGAAAGTTTATCATCAGAAGAATAAATAGAGAAGCAAATACAAAAACTATCGATTTAACTTTATAATAGATTCCGTTTCTGATCCATTGACATCGTGTCTTTTCTCATGTTCTCAAATATTAGATCAATATTAAAAGGCAAAAATAACAATCCATTATTTCAGAAGTATGATATGGCTATACATTTCATAGAACTGTTCACGCAGGATATTATTTGAATAGTTTAATAGGAAATACTCATTATATCGATTTTTTCTCTTGAATAAAAATCCTCGAAGCTGAGCATAAGTGAAAATATCAAAAATTAGGTTCAAATCCAAATTGTTACTTTTGTGAAGTTTTCAGATATCAATCACGAAATCGATAAACATGCAAGAGACTCATAAATTCTCATCCGCTCTTTAGAAATTCAGTCAGAGTTCGGAAACCTATTTTAGTTTCCTATGACTCAATTTTTAGATTGGGTATTGTCGCAAACCCATTTTAGTTTCCTATGATTCCATTTTTAGATTAGGTACTCTTGCAAACCCACTTTGGTTTCTTATGATACCCTATTTCACATTAGGTATTTTCGGAAACCATTTAGGTAATGAAAAGGTATTTTGCAATACCTTTTCGGCTATCAACCCAATTTTTATGGTAATATGGGTTTTCGACAACACCTTTCCGGTTCCCGAGAAAAATATTGGGTTTCCGAAAGAAAGAAAAAGGTATTCCAGAATACCTTCAGAGTGTTCAACTGAGTATTGTCAGAAACTCTTGAACTTCCGAACGTTCGAAAACCAAAAAGGTATTTTCAGAAACGTTTTTAATCTTCGGAAACCCACTCGGAAACCGAAAAGGGTTTCCGAGTGGGTTTCCGAACCTCTTTCGGTTTCCTAGGATACGGAAATTTTTTAGAGTGTATAGGGGGTATTATTGCGTAGCGTGGCTAAGTTATGTGTTATTCAATTTAACAATTCTTTCTTCGTCTGCTGCTTTTTCCACGACGGACACCGATTAGGAATCAAAGGATGACACCATTGCTAATTGAAAAGAGAACAGCAACAATTGAGACATATATGCAAGTGAAATGTATGTTGGTCAAACAAACAAACATGAATTAAACAATTTTTTTTTTGTTTTTATCTGCGTGTATCATCTGGTGTCTCTGAGAAAAATACGAACATCTTGAAAATGAGAATGAAAATAATTTTTGAAACAAATTGGTTTGATTGTTTTAAAAACTATATAAGAGTCATTTTGTAGGAGAAAAGACATAACGTGATCGTTTTCATATAAAAAACTTAATATCATGTCAAAAAACACAGCTTCGATAGTCAAAGTGCAAAAAATGATGCAAGAAATGCATATTGATGATAAACTGTCTACTTCGTCTCAATTCATCTTACCAATGGTATTTGAAAATCAATCTTTCAACCATTCTCCACATCATCAACAACAGCTACATAAACAACATTGTGATCGTGCACGGTCTTTTTATCGATTGCGTCAAAAGAAAAAGGAACGTCGTCTTCAACATGGTCCATTATCTGTACGTCATCATCAACAACATGTAAGAGAAATTAAAAGAAATAATCAAGAGCAAAAAAGGGAAAATAAATTAATTACCGCTATAGTTGGTTCGTCAATCGCTCGAAACATATCAGTAAAAAACATAGCAAATGAAACGAATGAAGTGCATCTTAGATTTAAATTGGGTAGTGATTGTGCTGATGCTCTATCTTGGTTGGAATCAACTGATGGTCAATTTTTTATGCGTGGTGTCAATCAATTAATTTTCATACTTGGCACAAATGATATTCATCGAGTTGGAGCTTTTCAAGCAGTTCAACGTATTGATTATACAATTGAAAAAATTCGACGTTTATATTCCGGCGTAAATATTATTTGGCAGCTTCTTCAACAGCGCACACGAAAGACCTGGCTTTTACCTGAATGCCAGGCAGTTTTAAATCAAATTGAAAAATGTAATGGGTTTCTACTCGAATTGGCTGCCAAGAAG